TAAAATATTATAATATTTTTTTTCGTCTATCTTAGGCAAAAAAAGATAAACCACAAGGCAACAATACCAACAACAGAAGCTGATGACGAAACCTTCATTGAAGTTCCCGTATTCACCTGGGGAATAGTAGTTGAGCTGGTTGCAACTGCTGAAATTGCCTGAGATGTACCAGAAGTAGTGAGTGTGGTAGCACCAGGTCCTGCGCTGCCGCTAGATGACGCACTGGATTCAGAACCAGCGCTGCTGCTAGGCAATGAACCAGATCCAGAACCAGCACTACCACTAGGTGACGTACCAGATCCAGGACCCGAACCTTCATTAGGGGATGATCCAGTGCCCACACTGCCACTAGGGATAGAACTTGATTCAGAATCTGAACCGGAGCCAGAGTTTGAGCCGGAGCCAGTGCTGCCACTTGGAGTAGAACCAAAACCTGAGCCCGTTGTACCACTTAATATAGAGCCGGAACCAGAGTTTAAGCCAGAAGCGGTGCTGCCACTTGATGTAGAGCTCGAACCGGTAGTGCTACTTGGAGCGAAGCCTGATCCTGATCCTGATCCTGATCCTGATCCTGAGCCTGAACCTGAGCCAGATCCTGAATTAGTTGATGTAGTAGCATGATTTGTAAGTGTATGTTCTGAAGGTGCAGTAGTTACTTCTATAACTACCGGAGTCGCCTTTGTGGTTGTGATGGTAATCGGCGACTTTCCACTCTCTGAAACAAGGGATTCAATAACTGTTGTTAAACTAAACGTGGATTTGGTACACTTAAGGCATGTTTCAGTAATGGTGTAAGTTGTACCAGGAGCAATAACCACAGTTTCGGTCGTAGTAGTACAAGGCTCAGTAATTGTCTTAGTAACTCCATTAGACATTACAGTTAGAGTTGAGTAACTAGTAATAAGATTGATTTTTGTAGTTATTCCTCCAATAGAGGATGTTTCTGAGTTTGAGTAAAGAGCAATGAGGATCTCGTTAATCAGTCTGGTGAAATGTTTGTTCAATGTTTCAATAATCGACTTTAAGGCAGCCGATTGAGAAGCGATAGTGGCAAGTATAGTTTTAATTGTTACAAAAGTAGTGTAAACGGCAAGGATCTGCGTAAAGATGAATCTTGCTGATTTCTGATAAAAATTCTTGGTAAGAAATGGAGATAAACCATTGAGCTAGGGCACTATTCAATTCGTCAATAATACTGTTAGCATCGTCACCATATGTATCACGCAAAGTGAGACCAGTCGTGCTGAGAAGCAACGAAAAAAAGCTTGTAAGAATATCTCCAAGCGAAACGAGAAACAGAACAACGATACTGTTGACAAGGGCCGATAACACTGCAAGTAAAGTGGTACTGAAAACAGCTGCCAATATAGCAGAAATAATAGCTGCCATCAAAGAATCTAGACTTAGATCGTCACTGGGACTAGATGATGTAGCGGATTCTAAAGAACTTGATGACAGATCAGCAGCACTATCACCATTTGTAAGAGACACTTCAGAAAGTTCCTCAGCGGTAGATGAAAATCCAAAAAGATAAGTGGTAGATGGTAAAATATCTGTTGTGGATATAGAATCAGAGTTTTGTTCATCAAATTTTGAGGATCCAGGTGGATAGGAAATTGAAGAGAGTGGTTCAGATAAAATGGTTCTTCAAAAGATGAAGATGGTTCCTTAGATGATGAAGGTTCTGCAAAAGATGAAGGTTCCTCAGAAGATGAAGGTTCCTCAGAAGATGAAGATGGTTGTTTAGAAGAGGAAGGATCCGCAGAAGATGCATCTTCAATATTGCTTATTACCGTCTGCAAAGCCTCTGAAATTGCATTTAACATCTCTTTTAAGGGAGAGCTGGCATTGTTTGCCAAGTTGCCTATTAAACTTTTTAAAACATTTAGGACTGAAACAATAGCATCTCGTATACTATCAGAAAGTTCAACTCTTTTCGACAAGTTATTTTCTCCGCTAAATTAATCCAAAAAACTTGAATAAATATCGCTCGATAAAATTTCATAAATATCTGGTAAACTATTTACCACTCGAAGAACTTCTTCTTCAGTGACATCTCGTTTGATAAGTTTCGAATTAGACCCACTAAATAAGGTAAGCAATGGTTCAATATATTGACCCACAGAGTTATCAAAGAAAACCAGAATATCATTTGTCTTAGCTTGATCTTCATCAGATAAATTTCCAAAAGAAATTTTTAAACAAATGTAGTCATCTAGTTCATCTAATGATCCAGGGAAATTATTAGGAGCTTCTAAAGTTACATCACTTGAATCAGGTGTAGTCGAAGATGGTGTAGAATCTGTAGGTGTTATACTACTATTAGTATAGTCTAAGTTTGTTAGAAAATAATTCGTTCCTATCTTGAAATTTGCTTATATTGATCACGAGGTAGAAACTGCAGTTCATATGGTGAGGGAAAAGCAGAAACTAAAGGTGCAATAGTAACATTTAAAAGTACTGCAACAAAGCAAGTATGATAATTTGATTTTATTCTCATCTTTTGAATTGTTAAGTTAGATTTTTCTCATATTTTTCAATTTTTTATTCTTACATTGAGTTGTAAAAAAAAATCAGGCAAGCTGACTTAATAAAATAGAGCAGTTACTGAGTTTTTGGTTATAAATTTGGATAAAGGTAAACGAGTGAGTAGGGTATAGCAATTGGATGTTTATTTTACAAATTAAAAAGAATATATTTAAAAAAAAACAATCTTAGGCATTTGCTAAATATATATATCCTTATTTGGGGTTTTTTTTAATAATTTTCAACTATTAATAGTTGGAATATTCTTCAATCAACTGCTTTTTGTCCTTCTATTTGATTTTTTTTAACAAAAAGCTTATTTGTACAACATTTTTCGTGCAAAAAATAATATTTACAGAAGATCCATTATTAACATTTATTATAAACTTTAAATACATTAAAACGATTCAAGTTAATATTTTGTCACCTCATTTATCCCTTAAAACCAAACTTGTTAATAAATAATATACGGTACAATTAGCTCATGGAATTGCTAATATCTAAATTTGCTGTTATACCCATTATGAACTTAAAATGACTTCTATTCCACTAATTTCTTTTCGTTTTGTATTTAAAGCCTTAACTTGATATTAATTTTTGTTTTTAAGGTCAATCAAATCTTTGTTAAGAATTATGTATACTTTATGAGGCTTTTTTCTTAGTGAGTTAATATAATGAATCTCTTAATCGTAATTGCTGTGTTGATTAAAAAATAGTAGATAGAAGAACAAACTACTTAGTGTAAGATTTCCAATAAAAGGTAGATGAAGTTTTTTGATATCAGATCCATATTCAGAACGTAATTTTAGTTATCCTCTGTAACAAACTCGAAATAAAGCTTTAACCATAAGTATACGTTTATATTATTTGTAACCAATTAATTACAATATGCATGTTTTTTTAGTTACAATATCATATAGTTATAAATATGAGCACTCTCAATTAAAATTAATGGGAAACAACTAAACAGTAAATGGGAAAGTTGAGACTAGCTAAATTTTTAAGATAATGCTCAAATTAATCAATCATTTGTATTAGCATCTTTAAACATCGGTCAAGTTTATCTCTTTTAAATTATTTGATTGTATCAGTTTTTTTATAAATAATTATCGTATCTTTATGAGTTACAAGCCCATGATTGTCAAATTTGAACAGTTTTGGGTTCGAATAAAATGATAAAATAATTTAGCCGGTTATGCTTTAAAATAAGGTATCATTTTCTAAATTTAATTTTAAAGTTTTTTATTTCGCTTCCATACGAATTAATAATTAGACCGAATTTTAAGACATACATTTTATTTAAAGAATGATTTAGAGGTTTATTTTTTGGCCAACCTTACTTGACGAAAAAAATTGGTAATAAATGGAATGAAAAAAGTAAAAGAGTTTTGGATATTTTCTAGGTAATTCAAAAATTCCTAAGTAACAGAAATGTATGGTGGTATAGTTATTTTTTATGTTATTATGTCACTCACTACCTTGATGACGAAAAAGTATATTTTAGACACATATATACTAAGTAAATAATTAATTATTTGAGACTAGGAGTGTGGAATAGAATAATTGAATTATAGTATTATTTTATCAATGAAGTTGTAATCGCGTTAAATCTGAGCGTATGAACAGTGTTTTTAATCTCAGCTACCAACTTGTTAAATTCAACTTTAAATATGCTTAAATATTTTCAAAACAGTTAAAAGGCGGGGTTTAATAATTGAATATAACTAAATTAAAGATTTTCGTTAATATCTCAATATACTTCTCAAATAAACGTTATTTTAATTTAAATCCTCTTAAGAGTTGTACTGAATTACCACTGATTTTTTTTTTAGTTTTATAAGAAATGTTTTTACTTTTTATCATAACCGGGTATCATCAAATTTCAAATAAAATTATAATTGAATAATTATTCAAAATTAATTGGGCAATAAGGAATGGTTCTAAACTGTTGTTTTCATTTTAGCATACCAATATTCAGTCGTAAAGTTAATCTACCAGTAATTTAAAGACGTTCACTTGGCTGGTGTTCAGAAATAAGATTTCGTTCAACAGAAACAAAATTTATAATAGTATTTAACCAGTACCGGCAACATAAAAGTGTATTAAAATAGGCTTCTGTACAGGATTTTTAATTTTAAAATTACTAAAATCCACATCGTTTTTACTTAAAATTTATTTAAGAACGTCTTTCTTGCTTGTCACAAAAAACTTAAAATTACCTAACTATCGTTTTGATCGTTTTGAAAAATAAAAGAGCTAATAAGGTTTAAAATTAAAAAGAAAAAACTGAAATTTTCAGCTGAAATTCTTAACCTTATTTGATGTCTTATTGGAAGAAAACAATGTAGTGATGAGAATGTTGTAGGATTTAATGGTATATTGAATTAATTATTAAAAAGGTATAGGTCAATGTATAGGTCATTTTTCTATAGTTCGACGATCAGCATCGGCTAAGTTCTTATTTTGCTAAATGAAATGAAACAAGGTTGCAAAAACTATAAATTCTCGGGGATAAATAATTTTAATTAATTTTTTTCCAATAACGGTTTCACTGCATTGTCAATGGAATTTGTAATACCGCTATTTTTTTTTTTTTTCATTTTAGGGTTATCCTTTTGAATTATCCTTTTCCCAGATACTGTAATCTTAATATGTTAATTGAGTCTCTTTTTGTAATATAACCTCACTTTTAAAGCGATTTTGGATTTTTGGCAGTGTGGTTCTCTGAACCAATAAAATTAAACTGTGGTTGTTTTTCTTGGATATATTGAGTATCGATAATTTTTTCCAGAAGTACAACTTGGTAAATAAATGATAAGTTTGGTATTACAATTGTAATAATTATTAATCCATTGAAATGGGTTTCTAAAGCAGCTAGTGTTATTTTCAAAAATTAAAAGTTAGAGAGATTATCGTTTTTGTTCCTATCCAACTAGAAAAACTTTTTTTTAAATATGAACCAGCAATTCAATGAATGATATTTAAAAAAAAAAAAAAAACCCCTCTTTTAATTCTGGGTATTGTTGTGGTAAAGATCTAAAAATTAAAGCAACAAAATCATTATAATGTAAACTTTTCATCACATTTCTATCAATTTAAGATCAAGCAACTTTTAGGAAGTAACAGGAATTAATTTACAGATTATTATAAGATTGAACATTTTTTCAAACTTGGATACGTCTAAAATTAAATGTCTTCAACAAATCTGCCTACAAGCACAGTGGCATCAATAGTCAGTGTCAAACTGATGGTATCGAACAATTTTAAATAATCCTACAATATAAGTATTAATAATTGTGCTACTTATTAATACCCTGACATCATTAATCAACAAAGATTCAAAAAAAAATAAATGAAATAAAAGTGCGCTGATATCGATTTTGTCGACAAGCTCGACTCATTTTGTACATTAAAAAGGTCTGTACTGGATAATAATAGAACATGTAAACTCTTATGGGAATCAAAACTATTTAATTATAAGTATCAATCAATCAATTTCATCTATCTAAATGTATATGTCATTCAATAATATAAAATACATATTAGACATCCTTTAAGTTGCTTCAAATGTATAAATGTAGCAAACAAATTTATTTTGGTAAGTATATACCAAAAAATTTTAATTCTCAATATCTTAAGTTTTCATATTTTTGAAATAAAAAAAAACTAGAATGAAAATATTCAACATAAAGTTTCTTTATAGTTAGGGTATCATGATTTTAGGTATTGCTCCTGTATACATAGTTTTCAATTTTTAGTTTTTGAATAAAGTATACTGATGAGTTAATTGATTGATTAATTGATTGATTGATTGATTGATTGATTGATTGATTAACACGTGCGCATCTGCGATACTTAACTTTTCTGCTGTATTGTAAGATTGATAATAAATATTTTGAATTGGGGAATAAAATTCTAGTGCTGGTAGCTCAACATAATATTTCGGAAAATCATCAGTCGCACTCCATAAATAGTTCCTTCTTCACTGGGAATGTAATGAATAGATAGGACAAAAAAAAATAAAGTTATTATTAGAAAGCGAGAGAAGTTTACTATTGAAATGGTGATTCTATTTGTGCAACCGATAAAAGAGGAACATACTGCGTCAATTTTTCACCCTGCTTTCTTTTCAGGTGGTAGTTGATAACTTTAGATTAGCTGCCCGCCTAAAATAAGCTCAAATCCAGCTCTGTTTTTTAGCGAGTCATTACAATCAGATGCTGACATAGAAATGAATGAAATAGACTTGAGATAGAATGAAAAGAAATAATGGGGTTTAATTTGAGGTAAATGTATTTATGGCTGATTGGCATTTTCTAATGCAAATTCGTAATAGTATGCAAAAAAAAAAAAAAAAAAAAAAAAAGGTCGGCTAATCAGTCAATTAATTGATCATAGATAAATGAAAAAAGATCACATCATGGTAATATGATAACGAAAGCCCAGAAAAAAAAAAAAAAAAACTTGAATTAGAAGTGCATTTAGAAAGAATTATTGTGTGACAATTCTGAGTAGAACAAACAGTTCTTAGAACGGATTCATTCTTCTTAAAGAACAATCCTATTTATTTTTTTTTATTTTTTCATTTATTATATAATTACATAATTTAAGTGCACTATTTTAACTATTTGTTACAATTAATTGTGACAAATTGTTTGTCATTAACATGTAATAAAAGTATACTAATTAGTTATAACTTATACCCTCCTTTTGTCACATGCTTTTTTTTTGATTTTATTGGATAAGAGAAGCATACAGTATGAGTTATTAGTTATTTAATAATAATTAAATTATTTTATTTTAATTATAATATAATATAATATAATAAAGTGTTATTAATAAATATGGCATTCAGTATAATTATCTTAGGAACAGCTGCTGATATCGGAACGAGTTTCAAAGATTTTGTGTTTTTGTGGTTTTTTTTTTTTTTTTTTTTTTCAACCGAGAAATAATTTCTCGGTAGCTACACCC